TATGCTAACTTAGACTAGCACTCAAGCTACCTTGGTTTCATAGCATAAGCTTGGAGGATAGTCCTTCTGTTGCTCACTTGACCGCTCACGTGCGACTTTGCCGAGGTTGCTCCATTTGTTGAGGAACGGTTCTTGACTCAGATTTTAGGATAAAACCTTGCTTCTACGAAGCCCTCGCATGTCAGTAACTTTGCATATATTCTAGCTCGAAGTATTCGATCCGTCGACTGTTCTGAAAAAACACCCCGCAGGTATATTAATAGAAGTCGAAAAAAGAGTGATTGCAACATGTTTCTGTGCCTTATTCTTGTACTATCATGTCGGACATAGAAGTCTCCTCGAGCGACTCCTATGGTGAGTCCTTGTCCAACTAGTACTAACACATCAAGACTTTCGACCCGCCATTCAAAACCTTGACCACATTAGGCCTTTCATAATTGTCAGAGCTGGGATCATTCTTTTTCTCCTCCTCAAGTGCCCACTCGATTGACCTATGGGTATCATTCGTCCACGAGGCTCTCATAATAAATCCGCTGTACGCCATCTGGGCAGAGTGAGAGACGACCCAATAGTCAACACCACCGACCTTTCGATGTAGCCCAAGCCCTCCCTTAGCCCCATAAGTTGTCATGCTACCAGCCGTGTGACTCTCTTTCAAGCCGTGCAGCATAGCTAGCTTCCTCGTCTTGGGCTCCGATTCGAGGAAGGCGTTGAGTGTCTTCTCTTCGAGATTTACACCATGGGGGGAGTCCAAGATGGCTTCGTGGACATCTTGACCGTCGACTGTATGTGACCAGATAATGGCGAAGACAAAGTTGAGAATCTTTGCACCAGGCAAGAAGACTGGTGTCAGCCATTTGGGAAGTGGTTCACCTGGATGGAGGTCTGGAGTCTGCCATGACGTTGCTGAGGGGTTCAAGTTGTTGATGATCCGGATCGTTTTGAAATGATTCCAAGTCTCAATAATTTCAGCCCCTGGAGGTGTCGTGATGACGGGAATCTCCGGAGGGAATGACTTCAGTGTCGGAGGGTGTAGATGGTCTGAGTAATAGAACCCAAGAAGGATAGCGTCAAGTGGACTGTCAGAACTCAGTTGCGTGGCGCCTCCTTTATCAAAAGATGGGAGGCGCACGGCAGCAGCCTGTTCGATCTCCCGGATGACATTCTCGAGGCTCTCGAAAGTTGGAACTCCAGGGTTCTCGACCATCTTTATATGCACAAGCCACGAGCTAATGACATCCGCAGGACCCTTAAGCCATGGCTCGAAAGCCACATGGTAGAAGACTTTCCCAGTTGAAGCTTGTTCTGCTTCTGGTCTGGGAAAGGACATCAGCCAGCTGTTGTCGCCATTTAAAGAAGTCAAAATCGGCCGGAGCGGCTGAGCAAGGTCTGATAGATACTCTGTGATGGAATCTTGCTGTGTTGTTGCCATTATGTCGTTATCACCCAGGAGCTTGATAAGGAAGAAAATAAGTGGAAATAAGACCAGGTTGGGTCTCGACAGCTAAATAAGAGTCCATGACGGCATCAATCCTGGACTTATCCAGGTTCGCGTGATGCTAACCCCATCTGCTAGTCAATGCTAGCAGTAGCTTGCAATCCTTCAGGATCTACTGTACAGTGTCTTACGTGAAAATTTAACAACAATCTGCACCGTAAGGATACATTCTTTCCCGATATGACAACTAGCTACCTACACTGCGCCTAGGAGACGACTAGTCTACTATAAGCTTACCTATCTACAAGTAAAGTCATGTTTCAACTAAATAGCCTACCTCTAAGTTTACAACTTGCAACATAAGCCTTACCTGGAACCTGTTTAACTGCAGCGTTCATGACGATCACCGGAGTGGTTCACTAGTGACCCGCAAAAGGTCTAGCTGTACGGCTAAATTGACCTGATAAGACAAGTCTCAATGAGGTATAACAGAAACCCAAGCAAGGGTGGTCAGGGCAGGGGAAGCAGATCTCACCACTGAACCAAGGTGTTCGACGGCTCTGCCTGTCGCCACCTAGGAGGTATCTACGGCTTCATCAACACAGGAGCCTTCGTGCTGTACAAGATGTGTGTTCGTGTTATGTGGGTGTGTAACAAGGCCGCAACAGTGCCATTGTTGGAGTGAGACTCTCATGTGATGTCGACTGGCCAAGACAGCAAAGGCGAAGCTAAAATCTCACTCGCCATTTTTGTTGAGGCACGGAACATTGGTCTGCAGGGGCCCTGTTATCGCAAGACACATGAATGCACTAGTCCATCAAGGGCTGCTACGACTCTGGCTTGAATTGCCACTAGCATCGTTCGACGAACGTTGAGATATGTATGGGCTGGGGTGAAGAACTGGTAACGACATAGGGACGAAGAACGAGTGTACAGTACTGTACATGGGAGGCTCTCCAGGTCCAGAGATGGGGTTGATGTATTCGATGGCTTGCTGCGCTCTGCTGCATAGTGCGCCCAAGCTAGACTTTGCGGTACTGTCTGGGGGTTGAGCTGGCAGCCATTACACATCAAATGCCGAGTGAGGTCTCTCAATACAAAGGGTCGTAGGATCCTGGTGTGTCGTAAAATGAATAGACAGCGGAGGCGAGTGATGATGAGAGACAGATAGGTTCGGAAGCATTCCCTCCACTGTTGAGCTAGTTTGAGTGATCATGGTGTAGGCTCAGGGCTGTGCATGTTGCGCTGCTTAGGGCCGAGTCAGTTGCCTGAATGTCACCATCGCAGCAACCACGCCATATAGAAATAGGGGGTATTGCCGGCTTGATCCTTCTCTATACAAGGTGACAGTCGTGTTGAGTAGAGGTAACGAGCTCCCCATGCATTGCGCGTGGTGGGCTGAAATAGATAGTGTGCCAGGAAGCGATACTCTCGACTGAGCGGTCGACGGACTTTGTGTGGCAATAATCAGATTGTATCGGTCAATGGCGAGGTCTCAAGGCCGTCGTCTAGTGGAAATTTGCGGTAACCAATCCAGGAGCGGTCTACCGGGTTGCCGCCCTTGTCGTGTATTAACTTGTCAATTGCCATTGGAGTCCTTGTAGATTGATGGTGTTTTCCCATGAGAGTGGTTGTCATGGCTCCGGCGTCACGGTGTATCTTCGTCGCCCGATTGCTTTGGGATTGTTGGTGGGGAGTTTGTGGCTTCTCCAGTCCCATCGAATGTGCATTTGTGGTATTGTCTCGTGACTTGCTGTTTAGGCACCAAAAGCCAGCGCCGGGCTACCTGCAATCATCCTTCGTCCAGCTCCTTATTCCAGAAGTGTTTGACCCCAAGAGGATGATTCCTAATCTTGCGAATCAGCTTAATGCAGCGCTAGTCAAGCACTGATTGCGCTCATCAATTGACGGGACCCGACCACCACCCACGTCGACATGAAGATTATCGGAGCTCGATTGGATAGTGAGGAGACGCTGGCAGGAGGAGCGGAGTGTCGCCTGCCATTTGTATGGACGTCGGCTCGTGTACATTGTCTCGTGGGTCTTCGTAGACAACGTGGGCAAAGACGTCAAGATCTGGTCCTTTGTCGCAGTAAAATGTACTTTGGACATCCAGCTAGCGAGTACTCTGCGCGATTGAGAGGGCCGTGTCGCGTTCGAACGAGACAATAGGACCTGTGCCGCTGTGCCCCGGGCTCATTTGACCATCGCGAGACGGCGGCGGCGGTTATCTTTGCTTGCGCAGCCGATGGTCGCGTTGCTACGTTGAGCTGGGATCGATGTCCTGAAGACTCGTCGTATCATGTCATGGGCATAGACCCTCGCGGCGGTAGAGTGTAGTGAAAGACTCGTCGAAGGGAGTCAAGTTTCATAGATCGTCTCGATCGCGCGGGCAGCTGTCCTTTCGTTTGCGGTGCTGTCGGGAAGCATTTGGGGGAAACTCGGTGTCAATGTATAGGGGATCTGACTGTTACTGGCCGCCAGTAACAACGGATCGACTAGGGGAAGGCTTCGTAATGGCTGTAGGTTGTGACGGCAAAGACGCGTCAGTCAAAGCTAAGTCTGAAGGGCGAACAGAACCACCGCGATGAGGAGGCTGTATGCTAAGCAATTGCCGGCGCGACAGGGTCGGGCGCAAAAGAGTTCAGAGCGCGAGACATGCTGGTCGATACTGCCGCAGGGTCGAAATGATCAATGATGTGTGATGTGGAAAAGGTAAGATGTGGATGGGCAGTCGGAACGAAAACAGACTGTCTGCCCTGTCTGGATCAGACTCCTCAGAAATCATGATGACGTAATTATTTCCGTTGTTTGAGTTGAGAAAGCCCGTAAAACAGCATAGCTCTTTCGCCAGAAATGAAGGAAATACAATTTTCAAAGAAGGAATCGTCCTCTGCCAAGCAGCCCTTACTCAATGCTAAACTTCCAGGTCCTCGCTTCATCCATTGTGGCAGGGTGCAAGTGTTCTGTGTCCGGTAGAGTGGATCAAGCTTGGTGCCCGGGCTCGGATTGTTAGGCGTCGGCCCGCTAGCGGCCACTAAAATGTGTGCAAGCGTCCACTGTAAGTTTTGAAGTCTTCCATGAGAACAGACTTCCATACCGTCACTATTGTTATGTACACTGCGGTATGAAGATGCAGATTGCAATCAGATCAAGCAGAGCGTTTCATCCTTTCCAGTAAATGTATCAAGATAAGACGCGATGGTCGGTACTCGCTCTACTTCCCTGCCCGCAAAAATTGCTAGGCGTCTCTCACTGGGCTTATAGGCGCTGGCGAAAGCCCCCAGCGGCCCCGCCACCATCCTCCACGTCTACTCACTACAGGCATAGCCCTCGCGCATCGAAGGTTCAGGGCACCGAGATCTTATTTTCGGTCTAAGTCTCTCATGATCCTTGAAACAAAGAGGAAGGCATCGCCTCAATGTTTATCAGCAGAACGACCTTCCAACGGTCACTGAGCCTTGAACCTCCGGAGGATGTATCGCTAAGTAGCTTTGTCTCGCCTTCCCAACAGCTCAAGGGCACCTGCCATCTATTCAGTGCTCTACATCACTGGATTCTGTTCCTTTCCTCCCTATTGAATGTCGGACAGCTCTCTTCTTCTCGAAAACATCAACATCTCGCGCCAGCATCAGCCCAATCTTCAGATCACTCTTGCTTGCTGAGCTCGCTACCACATATTTCTAAACCATATCCATCACGAACTCACTGACGACTTTGCCATGTGCTATCACGACTCGTTGTCAGGAGACTATAGCAGCGCGGACCCTTGGGCTGACCCTCGAAACACTAGAGTCAGCAATTTGTTACTGGATGAGAGCCAATCTACCGTACAGCAGTTGGACCAAGAAGCGACCACCCCCAACACTCATGTCGACTCAAAGGGGCCTGTCAGGGAAAAGAGAAAGAGAAAGGATGCTGACCTATCGACTTCCGGTCCATCCACCAGCACTCATGACATGGGGTCAAATGGCTCAGGAGAAGTAGCCTAGGATGGCAACAACCCAACCACCTCGTTGCATGATGATGCCAAGCGGCCGCGTCTGGACAAACAATTTTCCCACCACGATGCCGACTCTCAAGATCACTCAGTGAACACTTCAACTCGACTCAGTACCTCACCGACCCCGAAGAAAGATTAGACCGACCCTTCGCCTCCATCGTTTCATTCAGGAAGATGCCTATCAGGAACTGAACATCCATCAACTCCGGCCAGTCCTAGTGACCAGTGCGTCACAATAGACATTTCTTCAACACTCAGACATTGATCATCCTCGGCCCACTGTTATCATGAGCTGCCGTACATTCGAGATTCAAGATCGTCTGTTTATTAAGTGTACAATATTATACTATCGAAAATGCGCACCGGTTTCGTTAATCTCGTTTCTGTCTCTCCTTCACTCTCGTCTCATAAATCGTAGCTGTCTGAACTTTAAATACGTTGACCAATCTTTGTGCCCAGATAGAATAGAAAGACAAATCCGAGCTTCTGGACAGGATGATACGCGCGGTATCGAGAATAATCCTGGGCATGCTCTTCGGCTGCAGAAATATGATCCCTAAAAGGCCTAAGTCATTAGGATAAATTACCTAAAGCCCTGGCCTAACCTTAGGTATCTATACCTGGTACTTGTCTAGGCAATTTCGTCTTTGACATCCTGGTAGCTAATCTTTCCGATACCCCGACGCCTGAGGTGGGCAGCTTTGTCCGGATTGTTCGACGCGCATGAGTGCATAGCGACATATCGATAAGATCCAGGATGCTCGGTGCCGAAGTACCAAAAACGGGTGTATTTGTCGATCCGATGATTTCGAATGTTAAATACCGATAGGGAATCAACAATACTATGGTTTTGATGTTTCGCCTAGGCGACTCTTACTGAGAAATGAAGTGGTCTGACATCTTGGACGATCGTACTACGCTGATGTGCTTCTCCAACCAACCATAAATCTCGCGTGGGCACAGTCAGCACCTTATTAACAAAGTTCGCAACCGTCGTATAAAAGACCTGAAGTAGAATTGTCGTACAAAGTTAATCTTATCAAAGACATGACAACCTCTGCTGACGACAAAGTCCGATAATCGACAAGTTCACGATACCGCGCGTACCTCTGACCGATATCATGATATCACTAGATTCTATTAGGAAAGCAAATCGTGCCTCGGCATCTCGACATCCCAACAGAAATACAATTGGGTCAAATACTTGCCAAAGCCGAGGCCGAATTCACGTAACGCGGGGTTGATGCACACCCAAAACAGCAAGGATGCGTTGATACCCCACACAATCGCCACGCGGATTTAATTCCAACGCTTGCTTTACCCCGGATTTGCTTTTGCAGCTAAGGACAGATCCAGATGGGCGAAGCTCAAGGGGTTAACTGGCGGGGACGAATAAATACCCGGTGGAGTGTCAGTGTTTCTCCTCTTGACATACTCTGTTTCTAGGAGTGCTCCTCTATCTTTTGACATACTCCGACAACATGGCGCTTCATTCACGATGGTCTGAGCCAGTCCAAAAATGCTCTCTCCAGCAGTGGATCTTTGGGTCTTGCAATGGTCCTATGGAATACGCCGATAAGGCCATTTACTTCGACGCAGACCGCCCAGACACTCACTTCCTTACCAAATCGCAGTTTAGACATCTCGCTAAACAAGTCGCTCTCGGTCTTATCAGAGAAGGTGTACAGCAAGGAAGCCGAGTTCTTGTGTTCTCAGCAAACAATGTCTACTTCCCCAGCGTGTTTCTCGGTATTTTGATGGCTGGTGGTATCTTCACTGGCGCCAATCCCTCTTTCACGCCGAGGGAGCTGGCGTATCAGCTCAAGAACTCGGAGGCTACGCACATGTTCGTTCATGCGGGACAGCTGCCTACCGCGCTACAGGCTGCCGAGGAGGTTGGGCTGGCGAAAGAGAAGATCTTTGTTTTGGATCCTTCCGTTCTCCCGCCTGTTACAGCAAGCCCAGCTCTTCCAGCTACTCGAGCTGATGGCCTGCGTCTGTGGACAGAACTGGTTGTGGATAACTATGAGCAAGCAAAGACATGGCAATGGATCGAGCCCCAAGATCCGGAGTCCGCTGGTTGCTGTTTGAACTATAGCAGCGGTACAACAGGCGTCCCCAAGGGCGTCGAGATCACTCATTCCTCATATGTCGCAAATGGCTCTGGTGTTGTCTTAATGTCCGGCCTGGAGCCCGACCCTGACCACCACAAGAACCAAAAGGGTTTGGCGTTCTTGCCTATGTACCATGCCTACGCCCAGACATACTACATTTCTATTTATCCCATGATGGGAATCCCCGCGTACATTATGCCGATGTTCGACTTCGAGAAGATGCTCCAGCATATCCAAAAGTTCGGCATCACAAGTCTGCTGTGTGTTCCTCCCATCCTGGTCTACCTGTCCAAGCATCCGCTCGTCAAAAAGTACGATCTTAGCAGCATCAACCGCGTCAGCTCTGGTGCAGCACCACTTAGCCACGAAGTCATCCGCGGCGTTGAGAAGCTGTGGCCGTCTGGAGATGTCACCGTGAAGCAAGGTTGGGGAATGACTGAGGTGACATGTACTTGCATGACGTGGGACCCCCGATCTGTTACCGACCCTGACAAGGTTGGAGAGCTCGCCCCCAATTGCTCAGCGAAGATCATGGAACTCGATGGGAAGACACAGATCACCAAGCCCAATGAGCGCGGTGAGCTTTGGGTCACAGGTCCAACATTGATGAAGGGTTACTGGAAGAACCCCGGCGCTACAAAAGACACCATCTCCGTTGACGCCGACGGCACGAGGTGGTTGAAGACAGGCGATATCGCATACGTCGATTCTTTCAAACCAGGCGCAATTTTCCACATCGTCGACCGGATCAAGGAACTCATCAAGGTCAAGGGCAACCAAGTCGCGCCCGCAGAACTAGAAGCAGTACTCCTAGACCATCCTGAGGTAGCGGACGCCGCGGTCATTGGCATTCCATACGAAGGAGATGAAGCTCCCCGTGCTTATATCGTGAAGGCTCCTGGCTCTGAGCTTACTGAGAAGAAAGTGGTAGACTGGATGGATGCTAGAGTGGCGAGGTACAAGCGTCTCAAGGGCGGTGTTTCATTTGTTGACATGATCCCCAAGAACCCAGTGAGTAACATTCAGAACTTAGGTGTATCCATGCTAACATTCGTTTTTCTAGTCTGGAAAGATCCTCAGAAGAGCACTGCGAGACAAGGCGAAGGAAGAGATGGCCGCCAACAAGACACCTTCTGCACGCCTTTAGATAGCCTCAGTCCATTAGCATATAGCTTACTTCACCAGAATTGACTTCGTTGCCAAACTGACGATGTCCTTTTGACTCATGACAATTACGGGACCGACAGTTGACAGCAAATCAGTCTCTACTCTGTAACTACACCATTCATCAACACTCGAGGTAAAGAACGTCTGAATAAAGCTATTGGCAGATAGTTATCACATCAAAGTTTATTTTTACTGAGTGCTAATAATAGATCCATCATCTCAAGCGATGCCTGTTCGTCAACTTTCCATGCAACTGCAGGGTATGTAACGCGGCGAATGAGCGACACAGAATCGCTGACTCAGCCGTGATGCATGATAGTCTGACATCATTCTCGCGTTCAAGCAGGTTCAGCCCATGATCCGAAACTTGGAAGTGGGAAATGGAAGGAATATATCAACTCGTCAGCGACCCTCACATGATGAATTGCGCAACTTCAAATGTTTGGCAATCTCATCACAATGAACATCAACATCCCGAACCTCATTAAATCTGCTGTCCCGGAGGCTGAAGGGCGCAACGTCCAGATCCTGTCAGACAACAGATCAACAAATTATCGAGACGGCAATTTTTTGTCGGGCGATTTCCCGCGCAATCCACCAAAGCTTTACATCACCGGAGAAAACGACGATTTTGACGAAGTCACGTTGAGGGAATGGCGAGATGAGGGATTCGATGTTGAGTACATCTCGATGGAGAGTTGTGAAGATGGGTATCTCAAAAAGATCAAGTCGCTAAGTAGAGAGAACATGGGCCCCTGCGAAAAGTTTGGAATTGTTGGTGAGTTGAGTTCGAGGCGAAACAGTACCAGGAAGATGCTGACGAGGAACAGCCTACGATGACGCAGCAGCGATATGTCTAGAGCACTTTCACGTTCTGGACCATAACCCAGAATTCAAGCTTGGTCTCCTCATCGCCTACTACCCAACTCGCATTCCAGACACCAATGGCAAATTTCCCAACGCCATCAGCGCTCTTGTGCACCTCGCAGCGGGTGAGGAAGTAGGCGTCGTCAAGCAGTCTCAAATGGTCGGCATCCAGGGCAAAAAGCGCGTCAGACGCACCAAGATCACCAGCGGTCTCGGTACGGGTGGAAAGTTAGATCTGGCGTACCCAAGCTATACCTATGAGGCTCAGCCAGGTTTCGCTGAGCATGATCTTGACGAGTATGATGGGGTCGCAGCCGAGTTGGCGTGGAGTCGGAGTTTGGCGGCGGCGAGAAAGGTCTTTGGTATCAATCCTGACCTTGAGGTGGTTTTGGAAAACAACTTGCAGAGTAAGCGGCGGCGCTTCGTCTTTTTATCAGCTTGGAAACGACTGACACGAGAACAGGCAAATTCTTCTCAAAGAATCTTAAGCAAGCTATGGCGACGTTCACAACACACAAGACACCTCACGTAACATACATGCCCACTCTGACAGGCGCGACGGGCGCCGAGGAATTGAAGCGCTTTTACTCCGAATCATTCACCACACCGCCCTCACTCAAGATCACACTCCTATCACGTACCATCGGAGTTGACCGCGTTGCTGACGAGATGCACGTTCAATTAAAGCACACGGAGCAAGTACCATGGTTGCTTCCTGGCGTACCACCAACAAACAAAAAGATTGAGATCATGATGGTCAGCATCGTCACAATCCGTGGAGGAAGATTATACCAGGAACATGTCTACTGGGATCAAGCGAGCGTGCTAGTCCAAGTTGGCCTGCTGGATCCCAAACTGCTACCACAGTCGGCGAAGGATTTGGGCGTCGAGAAGCTCCCTGTAGTAGGACGTCGAGCGGCAAGAAGAGTGCTCAGAAACAAAGATTTGAGCGATGATGAGGGCGAAGCTGATAATGAGTTGATTCCTGGATGGAAGAAGAACAATGATGAGAGCAGCGAGGAGGGCGTCGCTGAGCTGCCGTGACGCCGGAGGTGAATGGTAGAATCTCTTTATGTAATTTTATCTAGAACTTAGTGTTCCTTCGAAGGCGTTTTGATAATTGCGAGAATGGCGGAAAGTCTCTTCCGAAGTTTAAGCTACTGCCCGGGCAAGGTTTTCTGCATCAGGTCGGGCTCGATAGATAAACTATTTTTTTTATTTTTTGTTTTTGAGTTTTTCCGGAGCGTAAGTCCCGAGGTACGATAAATAAACAACATTAATGTTTTTAGAGAGGTAGATACCTGTCGGCCATAGTGTAGGAGCTGACCAATTGTCTTAAATTCGGATAGTCATTCCATATATGTCAATCGTTGTTACAACGTGTTAGTCCTCTCCCATGTACTTAGTTGTCCGGGCTTCCATTCACTCAATCAATCTCGATAGAAATTTCGTTGGAAAAAACCTCGTGCCTGGAAAATAATCTTCCCAGCGAACCTTTAGACCCGAAATGACTCACTGGATCGGGTAGCCTTGTGGCCCTGCCTGAATTCCTTGTATAGACCCTCCTTTTCAAACCTAGGTCCCTCATCATGCTTCCCCTTTCACTCTCTGACTTCGTTTTGTCCGCCCACCGTCATTTGCAACACTAGCTAAGTTTTCTTTTTGGAAGTCACACCTCTCAACGTGACGCCTCTCTCAACGCGTACAGGTTAAA